GTCACTATTCTGCAGGGGGGAAGGTATTGGGGTGACAGAGGCTCTCTGGAGAGGTTACTGCTGGGGGCTGGATGGGGTGCTGGCCCTTTAAATCCCTTTTGAGGAGCGCTGCCTCTTTAAGGCGCATTCACATTGCCCTAGACCTCCTCCGCCCACGCGGTACGTTGTTGCGGTCCCTTTCATTTGAATTTACACGTCAGACCTGCTGCGCGTTGTAGCGTTTCGTTTTTCAGAGGATGGCGATAATTCCGAGTGACGGATTCTGGTCACACACGACTAGCTGCGTTCTAAGTGGTGATGTCACCGCGACTCGAGCTGGTGGCAGGAAGCCCGACAGCCCATGCCAGGCGATGCCGCCTCGGTACACTCTCTGTGTTCTCCGGGGGAAGGGGGGGCTGCGTCTGCAGGCTCTGCGTGTGCGAGATTCAGCCGCGTCCACCGTCTGTTCCAATTCTGTCAGTCACCTATCAGTCAGTCACCTATCAGTCAGTCACCTATCAGTCAGTCACCTATCTATCTATCATCAATATTATTTATCTGATCTGCAGCTTTCATTATGATGACCCCCGGTGATCCTGCCACGGAGGTCCTTGTTAAGACACTTCCTGTTTTAGGGTGACAATGTTCTCTCCCTGTCTCCCACTTATTTCTCCAGTGTTGTCACCCTGTCCCCTGGGTCTCTGATGGACTCTTTCAGCACACATCTCACAGACACGGTCCACTGTTGTCACCATCAGGAAACCCGCCCCGAGAAATGCCATGGCAGCCGTCACTGGAGTGCCTGTAGACAGGAAGTGGCTGTATGGTCTCTGAGACAGGGAGGGAAAATCTCCAGCGGGGTCACAGAAGGCTCTACAAAAACCTTTAGGTCCTTTATCACAATGCCCTGATGGGGGGGGGTTGTCAGTCTGGAGGAGTGGGCGGTCCCAGGGAGGATGTATTTGCATACAGACCACCCTAGTTAACGCCCACATGTGACGCTGAGCCTCCATGATTGACAGAACTGAAATCCAATGCATGAAAGGGGCGGGGCCAGGGACACAGGCTAGGGAGGACAGAGCTGGATGATGATGGAAGTTCTACAGCCAGG